GATTCTGTTTTGCGGACATTTTCCACTCTGCGACTATTTTTGTCTCTCTCCCCCTGTTTCTACTTTGCGGACGTTTTTTTCCAACAATTAAGAAAAAACGTCCGCAATCAAGAAGACGCGAAGCCGCCGCCGTCGATGAACCAAAACATTTTTAATTTTCGAGCCGCCGCCGTCATATAAGCAGAAATACTAAATTTTTGAATATTTTTGTGATACTCAGAAACAGTATTTTGGATTCTTCTGGTCTAACTGTTAATAACAATGTTCCATATTATCACTTTTACCTTTTTTGTCACATAATTCTCAAAACTAAGAAAATTCTTTAAAATAGCATCTAAAGATTTTGAGTCACCGCCGCCAATGGACGAAAAAATTTTTAGTTTTCAAGTCATCGACTGACACCTCTATGTACACATTATTGAAAGCAGAAAGTAACAATTCACTTAAGAAAACAAGCAAACAAACATTTTATTTTATTTATCAGCACTCGTTTAAAATAAACTACAAACACATCTGATGCAGTTATCTTTAAATTAAAATAATTTCAATATTTGATGCATTGCTTGTTATATCATAATAAGTTAGTTTATGTCGAGACTTGATATGTCGATTTTGATAGAACAAACGAAATTTGCCATTTGTATGAAATAAACGTTTCAATTCAGATTTAATAAATTTTACTTTATGATTTTCATTTTCTGCTATGTTCATTGACATTGTTTTACCGTCAGACTTACGCACTATGCGAATTATTATTTGTCTTGATGATGTTGGAACTGGCATATGGGTTTACTATTATGAAAGATCACTTTTTAAATTTTCTCTCTTTCAAAATTTGATTTAACTCGTTTTGGTTTTGCTTTCGTTATAATTCTACAGGTATAAAGGTAGACGAGTAAATATATAGTCATTCTTTCTTCATCATCTCCTTATTTTTGATGAAAAACAAACAAAAAAAGAATCTATACTCATAAAAATTCTCGTTCTTCTGGCATGTACACATTAATGCAGAAACTGCTCCGGCCAGCAACGAATTACAAGACAAAGAATAGAATTCGACAATGTTTTTGAATTTAGTCATACGAAAAGAAAAGAACAAGAAACGATCATTAACCAGGTTCATAATGTGAAATTTTTTTTCAACAAAAATCATTCTACAATTTAAAAAGACGAAATTTAATAGATGAATTTCTATTATCTATATTATGAAAAATTCGATTAATTCCAAATATTTCATACAAAAAGCTTGTCACACTATAGGAAGTAACAGTGAATAGCAGCAATATAGTGACATTACACTATTGATCATAAGAATAGTAGGTAATGACTGTACAACGATATAAAACAATAAAATAAAACAAAACAGAAATTATAAATGTTCCGAATTGTGTTTTATCATTTTATTTTAGACATTACTACTGTTAGAAGTGTTCTGTTCTAATAATGAATCGATGTTTCTTATCCGTATCTAGTGTCTCCGAAATATGCGACAATTTACGACGAGTTTCGATCATAGTGTCTACAATTTCGTGACTGATAATAATCGATGATCTTTTTCGTCCAGGAGTAGGAACAACATGAACATCGACAGTCGATTGTATACGTTTTACTTTATAGCCATGTTTGATCCAATGAAAGAGACCGTAAGCTAAAACAACGATAAAACCACACATGGGTACTAGAAACGAAATGCGGGTAGAATATTTATCAGCTATAGCGCCTTGAATTGGTGGAAATACAGCACCACCAGAGACACCCATAATAAGAATACCGGCTCCACGGCGAGTATGATGACCAAGATTGGCTGTTCCCATGACGAATATTGTTGGAAACATAAGGGATTCAAAGAAAAATAATGCAATTAGAACAATGACGCCAGGAAGACCGTGACCAGCCGATGTATAAGCTGACAAAGCAATACTTATTATTGCATAAATGAGTAGAATGAAATCAGCTTGAAAGAAATGAGCCAGTGCAGTACCAACAAAGCGACCGACTGTGAATGTAATGAGAGCATATGATAGAAGATTAGATGCTTGCGGATCTGTAAAACTTGCATTTTCAGTAGCATAATTTATAAAAAATGAACCAACAGTAACCTAAATGATAATATTTATCAGAAGCTGAAGAAGAACTATGGTTGATACTGTGCATTTTATCTCAATGTCGATCATTACCTGAGCACCAACATAACAAAATTGTGCTATGAATGCAAAAATCATATTGTATTGTTTCCACAGTGGTTTGACTTGACTACTGGCTTCGTCCATGACATTAGCAGGATCTTCATCGTCGGCGGTAACTTCGGGCAATTTAGTAAAAATGAAAAAAAGTGCAACTAATACTGCAGTACAAGCAACAGCGATATAGACGTATTTAACATTATCGAGATTAGTAGCATTTTTGCCTGAGAAGAAAAGTTTCGAAGCAATAAGAGGTCCAATGAATGATGCTACTCCATTCCATGACTGACAAAATTGTAAACGCATAGAAGCCGATTTAGGGTTACCAATAATGGTAGCATATGAATTGGCTGCAGTTTCTAATGTAGCAAGACCACAAGCAATAACAAAAGTACAAACAATAAAACCACCAAACGCTTTTTTAGCATTTTTTGGATTAGAATAATGGGCTGTTGGCCAGAAAAAGATAGCACCTATGGCGAACAGAGCTAAACCCAAGACAATGGTAACTTTGTAACCTTTACGTTTTAGGAGTTCGGCAGCAATGGGTGAGAAACAAAAGTAACCGCCACCAAAATAGACAATTTGCAAGCCAGTAGATTCAAGCTTTGTTATTTTGAGAACATTTTGAAAATGTTTATTTAAAACATCCAGAAGACCATAGGAGAATCCCCAAAGAAAGAATAGCGAAATTGCCAGACATAGCGGAAATATCAGTTGACGACCTTTGAGATATGACCGATTCGATGTAGGTGGCAAAACTATTGCGCCTCCAGCCATACCAAATAATTCTTAATTCTATGAATTAGCTTGACGCACTAAAGTAGATAAAATAATAGTGAGGTTATATCTGAAGTTAAAACACTATGTCTTCAAATGTTCTATTTTTTTACATTCATCCATTAAATTCTTCAGGCAAAACGATACAATCTGTAGATATAAAGTCGTTTACAATCTATTCTGTCTCGGAGTTGTACGCAATTTTCATCATAAATAAAAGCATAAAATCAGCTGAATTGACTTGTAAGAACTTTAATGACACCTTGAAAAAATCCAAATGTGTTTGCAAACTATAACACTCGTATAGTTGTAAAGATTTATTATTCACTATTTAAACAGAAATGATGTTTATGCCAGAAAGGAATCTAAAAAGATATCAAAGAGAATAAATCTATATTCTTCAAAATTACTTCTTTTTTCCGCTTTGAAAAACAGCTTCTTGTTATATATGTGTATAAAAAATGCCTAGTTTTACCTTTTTGAAAAACAAATCTGTTGATAATATCACATAGTCAATAATCGAAACAGTTTTCTTTAACCTTTCATTATCAAAATACTTTAGTGGCCGTATTTTATAACAATGACATTAACCATATCGTTTTATTTTCTGATGAAAAGATGATGTATGTAAGTGTGCGCACTTTCATACTTTTGTATTATAACTTTATGTGCTTCTTATGAATGGATTGAAAATTATTGATTAGAATATTCTGTAATTCACATATATATTTGAGTTTATTCGAAATTCTTACTATTAAAGCGATCAGAATAACAGAGATTAATGAGTTTTTTAAAATTCATACCACCAATTTCGTTCCAAAACTTACCATAACTATTTCTACAATGATTTTCTGGTGCTAATCTTTCATCGATTGCTTCTACATAAATGACATATCCTATCAATCAGTTGCAAAGAATACAACCAACGGAGTCAAATAGACAATGTCATGAACGAAATGAAAGAGCGCGATATCAATTCATGACAAATTTTACGAAAGCTCTTGATATTTTAATATTCATATCATTTGTTTACCTCTGAATATTTTAATTTGTATAGAGTCTAATGCATTTTATGAATAACACTATATACTTGATTTGTATATATGGTAAAAGTAAATTCTCTGAGTATTTAAAACAACTAAAGCGTTGATAAAAACTCTAGTGTGTATGACTAGTGAGAGATTTGAGTTACAGAAAAAGTTTAAAGAGCATTTTGTCTTTTACGTATACGAGGAGAAGTAATGTATTAGCATCTTAATCGTTGTAAATCATCCATTATTAGCATTTCCTCTAATTCATGCTAATTTCTCATTCCTCTATTAGAGAATTCTGTAAAAAAGGTTCCATCTATCATTGAAAGTAACAAGTATCCATGAGATGAGTGGCTCTTATTGTAATCTTCTTATTTTTTTGTAGGTGCACTTGCTATTCGTCAACGTTGGCAAGCCTACGGATGTGGCGCTTCTAAGAGTCTGACTATCAATGGAACTTTCAGAGCAGCTGGCGAAGGCGTCATAATTTCATGCTGCAATAAATACGATATATGCTATGAGACATGTAGCCGAACACAGACTCAACGTGATATTGTTTTTAGAACGTGTCTCAATTCAATCTGTGATTCACCACGTAGTGATGGATTTAAATGGGGGTCAAGTTTCGCCAAGTTGCTTGCAAAATCGCCAGCAACACTCTATGCCAGCTTGTTAACTGAGCTGGATCGGGTCAATTTCGCAGAGTACAACAGGCACATGGATGTCAGTAAATTAAAAATAGTTTTAAATCATTATCTATTGGCAATCGCACATCTTTCGAAATAAATGATAAGATAATGCACAAGCAATATACTACTCTCTTGTAGAGTCTATTGTTGCCTTCTTTTGAGTTCCAGGAAATCTTAATTAATGAACTTGATAATGCTTCTTGAAATTTCATGTTTGGTGGATTAACATCTGATCTTCTGTTGTTTTTTCTTCAGACATCACGGCACTGATATGGTTTTAATCTTGTCGTTCGGTTGAGATCAAAATTTATTTCTTGTTGACGTTTGTATTTTAGGTAGACGCAAAAAAGTTATAGCGATCTCAAATAATCTGGAAATTCATCTAAATTTTATCTTATTTGATGTTTATTTCTTTGGCAGCTTTGGGAGAAAAAACAGATACTAAACAGCTCAGCTTCCGTGTAGAATAGATCGAAGTTACTTTTTGTAAATTCTTACCTACAAAGATTCAAATATGAAGACCATTCGCGACCATATATCAGTTTTATCTCATTTATCTGAAACTACTTGACAATACTCATAACATGAAATGCTGTCACGAAGAAATCACCTATACATGCATTCACAGTCAATAATCAATTCAAATATTCATCTATTCGTTCCTCTTTCTATTTTACAATTTACGTGAAGAACAATTAAAAACTATTCTACAATACAATGCAACACTTGAGGGTTCTGGTGGCTTTTCATATTCGTAAATGTCGTGGCATCGTTCAATACGTCGATTCAAGTTATCATATTTAAATACATTATGGTATGGATTTATTCGTCGTCGATTCGCTAATGCAGAAAAGCCACTAGCTGTCAAAATACTTGTATCACATTCTCCCAGCAAGTAAAATTCAACAATTATTTTAAGAAATCCATGAGCAACATTTACAGTATTCGATGGACGATCAACGTGAAGAATCGGACCAGGTACTAATATCGTTTGATTTTGAAATTGAGCAAACATATTTGATAAAGCTTGTTGAGAATCACTCGCAACAAAGATTCGTGTATTTCGCTTTCTTCGTAATTTGGTTCTATTCAAATAATCTAATATATCATTTACAGCTGAAGCTTGGTTTTGGAACACTTCATCTAACGGATTGGATGGATTCTTTCCCATACGTAAGTGTATGCAAGTAAGTGCATAGCCATTTTCAATAATCTGAAGAATTGGTTCTAATGCATTAACAATCTCTAGACTTGGTTGAAAGAGAATTTCGAAGAATAAAGGAAACAAATTATGTAGAGTCAATTGTTCCATCGGTAAATTATCTAAAAACATTTTCATTATTTTATTCTTTTGAACAAAAGAATTTTGAAATATATCAGAAACATAATCGATATTTGTATATATATCGATGATATCATATTTCGACCATGTCTCAATAAAATTTGTATTTCGAATTTCATTTTGTAAACTGGGATTACTATCAATAGCATGGATAGTTTTACGAGAGTCATTTGAATTCAATGATTTATAATTAGTTATCCAATTGTACATTTTCGGTAATAAATAATTTTTGACATCAAGTGGATGAGTCATATCAATCATAAATTGCCGATCAGAAGCCAGTGCTAGTATAAAACATGTGACAATTCCACGAAAACGATCTCCTAGACCACCACAGAATGTTTTACATTTGTATATAAGTTTTTTTCCGGTAAAGTTGTGAGGTGTGATCCATAGTGAACTAATATTGATAGATTGATAGTTATCTTGTAAACGAAGCCATCTCATTTGAGTCCTTCGGGCGAAATTCGATTCTAACGAAACAGATTTGTCATAAGAGAGGTTGCGCCGATTCCATTTGACTGGTAGTAGTGGCATTAATTTTGATCGATATAAGAATAGGCTATATGAAAATATAAGCATACTTCCAGTCAATACGAACACGAAACACGCTGGCTTCGACATAAGTCTTATCTAGAAAATATTTACAAAAATATTTCTTTGTTTACTGATCTAGACGAAGTCATTTATGTACGATATATTCAGTAGATATAGTATTATATTAGAAGGATTCGTGATTGATACACAATTGTTGAATGGGTATTAACTACCCGTAATAACTGTAAACCAAATTTTAGTTTACTAGGTCAACTATCAAGCTTAGCGTGACACACTAATAAATGTTTATGTTCGCTCAGCTATAGAAAGTGATCTGTATTAAACTATGGGATGCAATATAATTTAAATTTCAGGGGACCTATTGTAATTTTGAAGAATAGTAAGGGACGAATAGCAGGCAGACGAAATGAATGTCAATCAATATTCACCTACGTACTTTCACTTTCCTCATTCGATTACATAGGTTGGCAAAAAAATAATTTTATATCGTTGCACTTTTATGCTAAGATACAGTAAAATATTTTAGAATATTTCAATCTACATTGTTTCTTTAATCCGTTCAGTCCTTTTAGTGCCTTTAGTCCCTTTTCTGTTTCGTATGTTCCTTGAGATCAAGACGTCAAGCATTAGAATATAGAGTTTTTTTTTGGCATTCAAGATCTTATTTGTTCCTTTAAAGATTAACAAACCAAACACACAATGAGTTACAAAAATCTTTAGTAGAAATTTTGTCAGATACACTTGGTTTGATTTTTAGAATGCAAGTCACATAAATATCTAAAATTTAGAGCATGCGAAAAGTTAAGATATATTGTACAATAATGATGAACGATAGAGTGGAAGATACGTGTTATAAAATCTATACGACGAAACATTACATTTTTTTTTGCATCAATATTATAGTTTCATTTTATTAGGGTGGTTTAGGAAAATATTTTAAGATAAACCATTCTAAAATAGATGAGGAATATTTGTAAATGTATAATTGTTTTCTCTGAAAGTTGAAAAGCATGAGTAGGTGAAGGCCTTTTCTGATAATCGTTGAGGAAACTTAGGATTCTTTCAAAAACCAAAGCTTTTATAATAAATTTTTGCTGTAGAAGTAGCTATTAGAAACACTGTCCATGTTTGTTGGTATGAAACCGCTTCGAATGACTGCTCTAGATATTTTTCAAAATTTACCCAGTACTTATAAATATAATCTCGTAATGAAAATTCTTGAGTTAGAGCTAGGGTAGTTAAATCATCCCATCCCCAAATAATATATATAATTCTTAGCCCTGTCCCGTATACGTGCTCAATGGTCGCTTATTGTTTATCGATATAGAAGAACCATGTTGCGAACAGCCAGATAAAATGAGGAAGTGCATACGCACAGAC